TTGTTTCCTATTCTTAGGGAAAACGCTTAAAGCGTCTTAGAACATCGAATAGAAATTGTAAATGGTTCAATTTAGGAAATATATATAGAAAAATAATAATTTTCCGAAAGCTTACAATGTGATTATCAAGAAGTATAAACAATATATTGATCTGTTTTAGATTACAAAGTTCCGCATCATAAAACACCGTTCCATTCCACATAACCATTCTAATTACTTTTTATTGTTTGTAGCGAAGTGAAATATAGTTAAGAACGCACCATTTGGACGTCTCTTCATATACAATGTGGTGATCCTAGAGAAGACGATGAAACTTGCCGTGTAGGATGCAGTTCTACAAGCGATATTAATTTACTAACATGGCGAGCCAACAATGCACTAGCTACTGGCAAAATTCCAACGATTGCCGCCTTCAAGCCAGGGCGATCCAAAATTCCACCGGAATATATTCGGACGTTTGATAAGAAACAAGGTCTTCCACATACCATTTAAACTTTGATCCAAAAGGGGATTTTGGAATGTCAATAATTTCGTTTAGCGATTGAAATAAAGGTAAGTAAAAAGGCGTAGGAAAAATGCTTTGATTTTTATCTATATTGTACCTTACTTAACAAAAGGTGTACCTACCAAAAATTTTACTGTAGTCAGCCTAAGATTTTTTCTCAGAATATCTAAATATTCTAAGTATTTAAACAAAAACGAACGCTATGCCTACAAAGAAAGTGTTTCTTGCAATTCCTCAAAAACTCTTCCTCAAATTTCGCCTTTAGTAAATTTTAATGCAGCTCAAGTAAGTTAAGAAGTCCAAGGTAGGTTTAAACGATTACTAAACCTCAGCTCGGCATCAAATTAACTTTCTTCCTAATGCTTCGGAATAGACAACTAGGAAGTTACGCTAGGAGAGCAACTAAACCCGTTTCACCTAGCCAACATTTCTAAGGAGTTTCAGATAACTACTAATACTTGACTAACGACAACAATTGGCGAACGTTTCATAATCTTTGTTAGAACATATAACGCAGTCGTGTAGCGAAACCAATTTGCAATTTGTATTAAGTTGCACGTTGCGCTGGCATCATCTTCAGACGTTGGGACATTAAGGAAAATCATGAACATTTCGTGTTATTTTAGATGTTACTTGTTTAACAATCTCCTTCATATCAGTGGGTGAGTTGTTGTGTTCACTGTGGCACACCATCATGTCATCACGAGACGCCTTGCGTAACCCGCATTGAACCGTGACCTTTGTTGCAATGTGCTACATACGATAACCACTGGTTACTCATGCGCGGCTCAATATTAGTTTAACGATGACTAGTGAACACACACTGCTTCGATAGTAGGTTAAACACTTTTTGAACGAAATGGTTCGCTTTCTTTTGTTTGAACTAAGACTAATAGGTGAATGTGCTAATTTATGCTAGACAAATTATTCCATGTAAGTCTTTGTAAGTTGATTATAATTTGCAAAATTTCCTAATGGAGTATTATCAAAGTGCTAGATTTTCATCTGATATAGATACCAAGTGTCAAAAGTTGAAAGTTTTACAGCATGATCGGCGACAACGAGAGCCTCGCTAAGTGCCAATATCAATTTAACGTGTGGGAGACGTCATCAGGAAACGTTGGCCACATGCCAAAGCCCAGGGGAGCTAAGTAGGAGTGGCCAGGAAAACAAACCCAGCTTTGTTTCATTCAGCGAACAAATATTTTTTCGCCGACTAACTCGTATTAAAACCGCTTGCCCAGTGTTATCGCATTTTTGGAAAGTTGAGAACGTGCAATGAAGGAATTGATATATTTAATTTCGGCTTTCAAATATGAAATCGAACCGTGAAGTGTGACAACTCCAATAATATCCTTATTGAGCAGTCGTCATCTGTTTCGTGTATACAAGTATTGCAACTAGGTTACTTAAACATTACACGTAAATGTACATTCAAACCGGTATAGGAGGAACTCGACTTAGTAAGAAACTGCAATTTTATTAAATATATGAAATATATTAAAAAATTTCTCAAATGAGAATATAATTATCAAACTGACATGAAACAGAGGGAGAGGCTTCCTCACTTGAGTTTCGTTCTTATAATAAAAACGAGATTGCAAGCGTACTTTTGGCATATTTATCAAACACAACAAGACAGTAAAAATATAGTGCATACCAGTACTGACGCCATGTAATAGGATTTTTACGTTCTTCGTCATAAATCGAAAATTGCAGACCTGATTATGAAACAGACAGCTGGGTACCTCCAAAAATTTGCAAAATGCAGTATTTTCAAAGACAGAGTTATAAATTTACGTTCTTTAAGGGCCAAAAATTTTGCTTTCTAAGGTAAGAAACCATAATAATTGATGTTTTTTTAGTTGGAATAGAGTTGTGTACAACGACAGACTACAATTAGGGCGAGTTGATTGAAACTAACAGGTATCACTGTTCCAATCAATCAAACATGATTGAAACAGACGTACGCATTCAGTTTCACGAGATCTGACGAGTTACGGACGATAGGGTTCATTTTAATACTATTTTGTATGGATAAAATAGAAAGCATCTATATTGGGTCAATCATCGACAATGGTCAAGCAAGATAGAGGCTCTAAAATCTTAAGAAAATCAGAGAAAGTATCTAAATAATACTAAGAACGGTAATTCACTATTGTATAGCCTACAGTAAAATTTTCACTCCAAAATCAAAGTACGTTTAATTTTCAAGAGACGAGAAGTAATCATGTTGTTGCTCCCATTCCGTCTGAGAACTAACATGATTATATTGGTCTTAATTAAAACATGTGGAAGGTCCCGACCTCAACTACAAACGTCTGAAAGAGAAATTCGCACATGTGTGAACTTTAATTCCGCGGATTTCTAACTAAGTAATAGCTTGCTCATGTGGAAACAGAAATTAAGTAAAGATGTAAATAGTTTGGTGTTATACAATCCTATTCGGAATCCCACACAATGTAATGATTTTCCTACATCTAACCTTTTTAGTGGAAACTTCATTTTAATACCTTATCTTTCTACATTATCTTAAGATTAGAAGACGCCTTTTAGGATGTTTCGTTCTCTTTTGGTTGTATTAATGTAGGGTCTGCTATTAAATAAAACAGTCTGTCCTTGATTGTTTTCGTAGTTTACCATATGAAACTATAGAATTATGAACCCCGGACAGCATCGCACCAGTGATACATGATGAATGAACGCTTAATTATCGTCGCTATATTTCGTGATTAAACTGTCCACTTTATAAACGATATCGCCGAAACGTTGATAATATTTTATGGAAGAGCGATTGTAAGTAGCTTTAAATTTTACTATTGGACCTGTTATACAGATGATCGAGCACGGCCATTATTGGCGTAGGAGGTTAATTACTTCCGAACCACCACACGCAAATATGAACCACGCAAGGATTAAACACTATGTTCAACACATTGATCGCCACGTGGCACAATGGTTTCTGAAGCTGGCGGAGGGTTGGCCTTCAACAGTCTTTGGTTTTAGTCAAAGACTTGAAAAGCCCACACTACACCACCCTTTTTACGTATGCGTCGTAAAAATCCACAAAGATCAAGTAACAGCGATGTCTCATACTAAGACTAGACCTTTTAAAATACGATCTCCAATTTTCCTGCTAAGCGTTGTAGTTATGGCAGACTTTTCTTGTATAGAAAAGTATTCGAGTCAAGCAAATAATGACTGTAAGGCTTTTTTAACAAAGATGATTATGAAAAGTACATAAGCACTACTACTATACTTTTAGATTAGTGTATGGGTGGAATTATAAAACGTGTTTACATAATGGCACTCTGTGCATCGTCCTGCTTCAATGAATCGCTATGAATATGCAGTTTGCTGTGTAACTAATAACTACTGTCTGTATAAAATTAAGTATTTTACTACAAACCATACTGCACAAGAACTTATTTCTCGATGCAATAATAAATTTTCTGAGAATTTGTAAGTTCATTATGTTGATTCGATTGTACATGACTAAGATTCCATAATAACCTAATTGCCAGATGGTCACATTGACGTCAAACTACTGGTAGTTAATGTTAATGAAAAACATTAGAACAGTTTTTGTTATTCACATCATGATTGTTGTTGCAGATGTTCACGATACAGAATCTGAGCATACTACGTATTTTTCACATCTACGAAAAGAAGCTTCAAAAATATATTTGAGAATAACCTAACCTTACCTTCAATGAGAAATACACAAGTTTATTTCAAAAACGTTCTACAATTAATTTGCAGTTTAAATGTTAAGAGATCCACACAAGAGGTCAATACTGTAAAACCGTTTTCCTCATATTTGAGAATTACTAAAATTAGTAATACAAAGCCAAACTATACATCATCATAATAAAGATTGAAATACCTATTATGGAAGTAAATAAGTTTTCTGTTTTAGACAACCGAGTTACATATTAACGAATCTACTTAGAAAACGCTGTCAACAACCTTATTAATTTACTACTTACAAAGAAAAGGTTACATTGTTTGAGTTTTGCATCTTGTTGGTTCAAACAAAGACGTGTGACGAGATACATTATGCATATTAGATACGTGCCTATGCCTACAATCCGTGGCTTTAAATAACAAGGAGCAAACATCCGACGATCTGGAGGCGGCTACTATTGTCTACAGTTGACCAGAGGATATTATACGTTTGTAAACAGATCTGTTTGTGTATTTTCTCTTCAATTTGTTATCCAATAAATACTGAATATGATAATAGGTAATGTTAAAAATCTCATAAAAATGTTGACAATGCAACTCTTATAACGCCACCTTAATTACTGTACGAGAATTAATTGCAATCATAAATATTAAATTCATACCATTCCTACGATAAAAAACATATTCTAACACCAACCGAATACCATAATTCTGCAATAAATTTTTAACAGCTCGAATACTATTACGATATGTGCAATTAAACTCTTGTCAATTAACTTGGCCATGTCGAATAATAATTACTCGCAGTATGAAGTATTCTCTAGTGGGGGACAGAGCCCATTTCGAGGCGCAATATCTAGCCCCCCAGGCGAGGCAGGCCGGCCTCAATTGTTTAATCGGCGAAGTTCCTCGATACAGGCCCGGCGACGCGGAAAGTTCAGCTACAGATGATAGGGCATGCTCGTTTCGCTTAATGTTCTACGTTCCTCCAGTGCACTCTGTGTGTAATTACTGCACACATTTAAGACCCGTGTCGGCACACATGAATAGAAAACTAGTGCTTCTCACGGATTGGTTCGATTGTGGGTGCGCCACCCAGCCAGGTCACATCCGCGTGCCTTGAAATGCACAGTTACATGACGTTGGGAAAACAACTGCTGTGGGAAGGGGTTGAATGGATTCAATCCTATTGTGATGCGTGTCTCATCAATCTATCGGGTACTTCTAGCGATTTTTCTATAATCGTCGTTTTTGCCCTTATAATAGTACGAGTTCACTTCTTATACCAACATGCAGACGACTCATTCAGGTCCATTAAATTGCTCCGAGCTGATAATAGAACAGGAAGTTTCAATAATGGATTGAATCGGTTGGAAATGTTTCCAGAGATGTTGGACGTGCTCCAACTAATTTAGAAAGAATTAAATCATCTATGTTATTCTGGGCTAACATAAATAGTCGCGAGTCACATTCCAAACAAAATGAAAACGTGATTATCAACAATTGTTTTCGTATCGAAAACGTACTATATGTCCAAACAAGACCCGCCTCTTCGCAGAAAAGGTAAACAAATCTATCGGTATAAACAATCACTGGAACAAACAACATCGTGTCTAGATTTAAGATGCTTGTTAGTAACCGGTGTACCATGCACTGCTGCGACGTATGTCAATGTAAACAAAGGGTACGTCTAAACAATATGGCGCGTAATCGACACTAGTTACAATTGCACCAATAAACAAATGCTAACACATTAAAGGAATATGAACTCTAATGTTTATTGCTAAAGGGTTAAAACCAGTGCGAGGCAAATATTGTCAGTGCAGCTCGGTGAACGGAGCGCGGCACAGCGCCGGCTGCACGCTTCCGACGGTGACGGCCGTCATGGCTGGCGAAGACGTTGATATCGGCGACACGTTGTTGGAGGAAACTAGCTGCTTATCTTTCGCACCAGCTGACAACTATAATCTTGTATCCGTTAAACGAAGGTACAAGATTCTAAACATTTTTATCTTAAATGAAATCTACACACTAAATGCAAGTCGTATCACCAAAGTTTGGTAGTCAAACATTACAATCATAGCCGCATTTTCAAAGCACCCGTTGGATTCAAATTGACGTGTAAAAGTGCCAATTGTGGGCCATTTCCGTAACGAATCCAATTTCAGTTGATTGCTCTTCCAAATTGATGAATCGTAAAGAACAAAAACAATTTCGTAAAATATCAAATCAAGGAAAATACGACTGTGTATTGTGAAAATGTGTAAGAAAGAGCAGACCTTACTTGACAGGTTTCTTGAAAAGCAATCCTCTTTAAAGAGAATTAACGTCATAAAACAAACTGCAATAAACGTTTGATCTTAGAACGAAGATAAAACTGAGACCAAAGTATGGAAACTGAACGTTATTTCTTTTGACAAATTCCTTACAATATCTGAGGGAAGTTAATTGTTCAGTGGAAGGACTTTGTATTGTTACGATTGACATTTTAACAGTAAGCGGAGTTACTTGTCGACCTGGCTATGTAGTGCACGGAACTTATAGGTAGAGCATATTGGATGCGGTGTCAGACGCGCGTTTCTGGAAAATACGCCTGCAATTTACATTAGGTTTTAATACAAGCTTTGATTATGATTTACCGAAAATGTGTATCAATCCATCCCTAGCAACTATGTATTACCTACTTTGTTATAGATAAGCAATAAGTACATAAACAACTTATTAGGTTTAATTAATATTATTTCCTTTTGTTTTCCTTTATATTACTTTTGTATGTATGTATATAGTACCAACGAAAGGAAATATATAATTATATTCCTTTTTGCAAATTTATATGCGCAAAATAAATTGATTAGCATTTTACATCGAACGTATTTTCCCATTGCCTGTGGCGTACCTACAAGAGTTAAAAGCAACAGTGTTAATAGTGCCATTATACTTATGTACCCAGACTTCATTATGACAAATATTCAAAATACTCATATAATTATGAGTAGGTATGCTATTTACAATGATTGGCAATTCCAATAATTAAAAACATTTTAACGAAACCCATTTTCAGAATTATTATGAGTTACTTTAATTATGTGAATAAGGACACTACAAACGACGATAGATGAAAAACAAACAATAGGTACCCAAGTAAGTATGGAAGTTCGTTGAGATTAAATGTAAGGAGAAGCATATATGTAAATATAAATAAGTATTGCAGTAATCGCCCGCAAAAATCGCGTGTGTTCTATGAATAGCGGTGCATCGCACAGATCTTGTCCGATGACACAATGGCTGCTATGAACCGTGAAAATTCTCACGGCTCATTTCTCATATAAAATATATACAAACACATAGTTCAACCTATCAACCTTATTTACATTGACAATACACTCGAGCACCGACCTCGTGTTCACGAATAAAAAAACTCGTTTCGCGTTCTTTGATGAGAAATGTGACGTACCTGGAACAAAGGTAAAAGATCTATTATTGACATGTTATTTTTCCGTCAGAGATGAAGGCGAATGTTCGGCATTTTCAGCATAAAATAAATCTCTATAAACGCACGGACATTTTTCAGCTTCTCAATTAACACCTCGTATTTTATCACAATGTGCAATAAAGATTAAAGGTGGTTGGATATTGTACAGTTCTGGTGGGGATATTAAATGTTCCGTCAGGAAGTCAATCATAAAGATAAAGCGGTTACGCACAAACGGTCCTGTGAATTGCAATACAGCCCGCACAGTCCACGCAGTGCCCACGCATACACGTCATCAAGCCAATCTGACAACTTTATCACCTCGTAAACCGACCGGGATATGTCACATGTTAATTACCGTATTTCAAGCTAAATGTACGAATTAATTTAATATTCATTGAGTCCCATATCCGCGGCTATCAAATCCCTGCGCCCGTGTTGCCGATGCATGGGTCTCATTAAAGTGGTCGTCACAACCGCAGACACGTTTAACTCTAACGTCGCTTAATTGTAATTGCTATACAAGCTCAGCGAAATGCAAACCAAATGCTAGTTCACTAGCGCTAGTTTCCGCTTTTTGTTACACTGTATATCCCTTAATTCGTACACTCTATAACAATTTGATAAAACGAACCCTAAAATGATATTAATATCATGTGATTCCGACCCCTTATTGATATAGCAGGGTGGCATCACTATTTAAGTGGTATTTATGTAAATATGTCAAAGTAGACTAGACTTGCAGAGTCACGAGATTAACGATGTTCCCGCCTCGAGCGACGTGTAACCCTCAACGTGATACTACAAATATGTTGAGCGTTCATTTTATCAAGAATGGCTGGCTGCATGTGCACACTGGGTTTACGACTACATTATACAATATGGGATAGGAAAAGGTTTTCAATACATTGTTCCGTGCATTACAAATTGGGTAAACTGTGTATAACGGAATTACCTTTTAGAAACTTATGAGAAATATTGTTAGTTTATTTACCTAATACTTAATTTATGCTTAATCTTAAACAGGTAAGGTTAAGAGAAAATAAATGACACAGAATAATCGCAAACCATCTTTTCTTTTCTATAAGAACGTGATTTGTGGTAGTTACTATATCGAGAAATGGTATTGCAAGCTTTTAAGACCGCAAACGTCTCATCCATTCTATTTTGAAATCCAAACGTTTTATTAGCCATTTGAGTTTCCTGGTAGATCGAAGTGGTTCCGGTATTGGTTTCAACTATTTTCGGATTATCGCTCTGAGATTGCACTTAAGTGCGCTGTCGAACAAAATTATGTATGAATGGATCCATTTAGCTGGTCTTTGGAAACTTAATGAAGTTAAATATAATATAGTTGTAACTAAATAAGTACAGATAGTCCAATTAAATTATACTGCTGTAATTAGTCACTGGGTGTACCATTGTATTTTGCGTCATCGTTACACAATGCGGGCTCGTCTAATCCACAGCTTAATGTCGCTACTCTGCTAGTACTTAAGCTCTTAATAATCGGGTGATGTTTCATCTAAGACGTCCTTCGTCTTAACAAGAAATTATTATGAGGATGAGTCTGCAGTAATGAAGAACTATACGGTATTCTGAGATGAGAAACATTAAGCTTCATGAGTACAAAACACTTAATGTTAAGTGTTTGAAAAAGTTATTATCTGTATAAAGGAATACATCATGTCGCCCAATACACGTTTTTTAGTAAGAGGGAAAATCTAAACTGTAGTTTAGTTAATTGTAGTTAAGAATAAAACAAAGTATAGTAATTGTATAGATCGGTTGCCGTCGCAGAATTATGAATATTTGACAGAAGCTTACAATATCCAACTAAGATCAGTTTGTTGTTACAATATAAGAAAGTAAAATACAGCGAGCAGTGTCGAAACTGCCGCATTCTATCCACTTTATAGGTCATTTCATTTATTCCATTCACTTATTTCCTCCGAAGAGATCTCCTGTTACGACCGAATGGGTTTCACAAATAAACCTAATTCTATCTGAACAATACGATGTTTCTTTTCAATTTCACAAATTAAACGGCTCGCCCCTAGAACCCGGATAATCCGTTAAAGATGGCGTAGCGACGGAAAAGAGCGTGCACTTGACAGCCAAAATTTTGTGAGTTCGTATTCCAATCATGGTTATTTACACTTAATTTCGTATTCCGCAAATAATTAGCCGGTACTTTGGGCTCTATAGGCGTTTCGAACGTGATTATATTTGCATAATAAGTTCCATAGATAAGCTGTATAAAAGTGAAGTGAGTAATGAACGTGACATTGTCCAAAACCACGTCGGCTTTATTAAATGAAATATGCAGGCGACTGAAAGTATTAATTTATTTAAATATTTACGAGAACCGAACGGTAATAACGTATTTAATAGTTTGTGTGCTGAGTTTAAACTGGAATACATATTTGGAACGTCAACATTTTCCGGCTTAAAGGTTCCAAGTGAGAACCATGATTGCAATGCGGTCTGGTTATTAAAAAGAATTTATTTTTTATATAAATTTACCTGCAATTGAAACCATATACACATCGTTCATAAAAATTGATGACATAAGATTATAGGTACTACAATTCGTTTTACATTAACGTAACGATTAAAGTGAAAGCAAAGATTACCATATCCATTAAGATAGATAATTATTAATGGACATATTATACATAATATGACCAACCTGATTAGAACTAAGAAAAAGTTACTTAAATACCGAATTGGTGATGAATTCGTGACTAATTAGCTGTTGAACACTGCTGTTGAAGCACGCAAAAAATGTACTTAAATATTTTATTACTTATATTACAAAGGAGATAATAAACTAACATGTAAGTGTATAAGAAAAACAAAAATGGGAAAACCCAATTAGGTATTATTTTACTCGCTTTACCGAAAGGTCATAGGTACTACAAGTCATTGAATAACATTCAAAGATTTCGGACTTTCCCATTTTCAATATTAAGTACTTAGATACGTACGTGCTACTAAGGAAATGTCAAAGAAGCTAAGTATCAGAGAAAAACCTAATTGAAAGTTTTTCTCAACTCCCAGAGCAGGAACTTTGTGGATCATGCAACTAAATATTTTTTCTATGACCGAGACGAATAATTTGAATAAAAATATTTACCTAATCTCGAGAAAACACATTCTCACACACACACAAACACACCACTGTGATTAAGATATTCGTTTGACTATATGTGTAAGTTAAAGGGTAATAGCAGACCGTTTCTACTAATATCTATCTAGTTACAGTTTCTGAATATCATATCGTTGGTAATATCATATTCATGGAATCAAATGGTTTAGTTGATTGAGTTGATGATCACCTATCTAATCTACATTTACGTATTTAGTACCATCCAACTGTCTATGTTACTTACAGAAAGTATTATTTATTCGTGAATATATCCTAATCTGGCAATTAACATTAAAGACATCAGATCCACCACGTCAACCACATATGGAAAACCATACCATCGGAATTGTGGCAACTGTATATCT